TGAAAATGAGTTCTCGTGACTCAGTGAGACTACCTGGATAAATAAAGATAAATGAAAAATAAAAGTTTAAAATAGAAATACTCACATCATGAGGTCGAGGTTGTGTGTGTGACGTGCACGTTCCTGAGAGTGTGTGTGTGACGTGCACGTTCCTGAGGTTGTGTGTGTGACGTGCACGTTCCTGAGGTTGTGTGTGAGACGTGCACGTTCCTGAGGTTGTGTGTGTGACGTGCACGTTCCTGAGAGTGTGTGTGTGACGTGCACGCTCCTGAGAGTGTGTGTGTGACGTGCACGTTCCTGAGGTTGTGTGTGTGACGTGCACGTTCCTGAGAGTGTGTGTGTGACGTGCACGCTCCTGAGAGTGTGTGTGTGTGACGTGCACGTTCCTGAGAGTGTGTGTGTGTGACGTGCACGTTCCTGAGGTTGTGTATGTGACTTGCACGTTCCTGAGGTTGTGTGTGTGATGTGCACGTTCCTGAGAGTGTGTGTGTGACGTGCACGTTCCTGAGAGTGTGTGTGTGTGATGTGCACGTTCCTGAGAGGCCACAGACAGAGCAGCTCCAGCTCTTGAGTTCCTGTAGTCCTGCAGTTTTCAAGCTGAAATGAAAAACATCATGAAGATGAACTTTACAGTCTCTAGTTACCTGTTCATAGAAACACATGGAGGTGTCTCACCTTGTGACTCACAATAAAATATGTAACTTTATCAGAGTCAGAGTTTCTTTATTATCATTCGCACCTCATGTGGTACATGTGGTGGAGCGAAATTATGTACACGGGGTCCCAGTTACATCCAACAATAAAATGTATAAGAAAAACAGTAATAACATCTAAGATATGAACTAAGAAAAACATCAACTAAATATACACTAAGCACTCATAACATAAAACAATGAACATCAGCACAAACATGAACATGAGTCTGTGAGCAGATGTGCACGCATGAACACATCAACATTGAAACAGATCAGCAGCAACATGAAACAGATCAGCAGCAACATGATATGGTTTTTCACAGTGATTATTCTAGTTAGAGATTCATGAGTCTAACAGCCTCAGGGTAGAAGCTGTTCCTCAGTCTAGTGGTTCTACACTTAATGCTCCTTAACCTCCTTCCTGAGGGGAGTGGGGCAAAAAGTGTGTGTGCTGGGTGAGTGGGGTCCTTCATGATGCAGGTGGCCCTCTTCCTGCATCTGGAGGTGTCGATGTATGTGATGATTTATGAACTCTAATGAACTTATAATGATGCTCCTACTCTTTGAAGGTGAACCGATGGTACCACACCATCTCTCAGTCGGACAGTCTGACCAGTTTGATCAAAATCCTCCAGTTTAAAATCCTCACTGCTCAGATGAATCCTCCTCAAAGATACTTCCTCCTCTTCCTCACATCTTGTTCTTTGGGAAAACTTCAAAATGAAAACAGGAGATTTGTGTCTACACAAAAACATTATACAGAGGAGGTCAATCTTATTTTCTATTTCCTATATTCTCCCTAGTTTTATTTTTTTATATACTAGAACTTAAACAAAACTCCAGCTCTGATGCATATATGTTGATAATGAACCAAAGCTGCTGAAATAGTGAGTATGATTGTTAGAAAAATATTCCTGTCATCAGATCTCAGTCAGCTTCATTGCAGCTGAACACCGTGTTACACTGAACATCACATCAGCTGGTGGACATAAATACAGTACAGTAATATTATATTCACAAAATACTAACAATAATGTGTTCATCTTACTGTGAAAAGTTATCCCCCGAGACCTGACGTCAACAGTCCGTCGATTAGAACAGAAATAAGCCGCGAAGTGCTGAGACATCTTCTGCTTTAACCAAATAAGGACGACCGCTCCAAGATGGCGGCCGAAGTTCCTGCGCCGCAGCAGCCAATGAGGGATCTAGTGTTTATATGATTTCTATGGGTTACACTGAGTGGAGCGGTCGACCGTTCCAAGATGGCGGCCCTCCGGCTCGTCAGCGCCAATAGCGGTCAATGCTGGATCTAGCTTTTATACGATATCTATGGTTGCTCCCGTGTCGCCCTCCTCTGTCGGCGGAAGCGCTGTTTCGTCCAAAGTCTCGGGAAGAAACAGGCTCGGTTCAGCCCGGCGAAGGTGGAGTCTGTCGGTGGGGAGGGAGAAGAAAGGGGAGAGCACAGAGGAGGAAAACGGCAGATATTACAGAACCGGAGGGAGAACAGTGGATGATTTAAAAGTGACATTACGGCTAATTAACGAGCTGCGGTGAAGAGGACCGGAACAAGATGATAGCGCCTTACTTCCTAGAAAATTTCTGGGTAGGTTATTATTATCATGCAGTTTACGCCGGTGCTACTCCGCATTATTTAACATGTTCATGTCAGCTCGGAAACGAGTAGTATTAGGGTCGCAGAGGCGGACCTATGGCTCTCTGGCTCGGCTGAACGGACTGTCCAGTACCGCCAGTCATACTAGCAACCCCGCGGCCGTCAGTAATTTTCCTCGGGTTGTTATTTAGCCTACCCCGGGGTTTGGGCCTCGGTGAACCTATCTAACGTGAGAGCTTGAAAAGTCCTCCCTTGTTTCCGGTAATTGGCTGCGTCTGGATTACTTGGAATGTTTACGGTCAGTTCCTCGAATGCTATTGGGTAGCTCGGCTGTCAATCAAAGCCTTTCGTTGTCTACGTAATTTTCTTCCGTAAAGAAGTTTCCGTGAGAGCCCAGATGTTGAGTAAGTTATAAAACCTGCTGTAGTGTTTCATGTTTTACAGCTGGCGTTGTGCGCCTGTCAGTGTTATAATGATTGTAATGCTGTTAAAGGCCACTTCACTGCCGATACATCAGATTTAAAAAGTAAGTCAAATATAATCTTTGTGTTTAGTATAAGTAAAATAAAACTTTTGTTTTTACATCATATTAAAAAAAACTAGTTTCATGAAGTAAAATACAAATGGGTAAAAGAACATATGAAGCAGTAAGTTAAAACCAACAGAGTTAATGAAATAATAAA